GTATTTTATCATCACTCTCATATACAGAAGGCTATTATTATATGTAGTATAACTACTACAATGCTTTGTTTATTACTTACCCTCTTATTTCTACTTGAGCTACAGCGGTGATGTTGATTTGCAGGCTCACAAAATTGCTGTCTGGATTGTCCTTGTTGGAACTAAAACACAATGACATATAAATTAAATATACTTTCTCAGACATGTTACTATAATATATGATCATAAAACACATTCTGTCTATCATTTAAGCAACACACATTTCCAACATGATCATTCAGAAAACAATGGCATATCCATTCTACAAAATCATAACCATTTATATACAGAAATGCTAAGTTCCATTATGACCAAAAGTAATAAATATAACTTTCCATGAGGAGACATCTTATCAGAAAGCACAGCTGATATCTAGAGAAGCTCATTCTTTTTCTGTTTCAATGGCTAAACCCAAGCGGCAGTGAGCGGAGTTCATTTTCCAGCATCTATCTTGGACACATTCCGTAACTTCTCTGAGCATCATATTCATTGCCCGTCAAATGAAAAAGGACGCATGGTCAACTTCTGATTTTCCATGCTCAGGAAAAGGAGGACTGGCAAGAATAATCCAAAAGCTGCACATAATGGAAAAAGCATTTGCATTTGGCTCTGGAATGCATCATACCATACATTGTTTGGGCAGAAAATTTATCTTCCTTATGGTTTCTTTCTCAAGTAATATTAAAATAAGTGTGCATTCACTGCCTGCTCACTGACTGACTAGGGTGGCGGTGGGGGTGAGCAGAGGCTTGGCCAGTGGCGTGAAGAAGGGAGATCAGAGAAAGTTGGGCAGCTCGTGCAGAGGCAATGAGCAGATGACATGGATGTTTGTCACGTGCATCAGGAATCTCAAGCTGGGACCCTGGCCAGGTAGCTCAGTTGATTGGAGCATTGCTCAACGTTGTGGGTTTGACCCCAGGTCAGGACACATACAAGAATCAACCAATGAATGCATAAGTAAGTAGAACAACAAATGGATGTTTCTCTCTCTCTTTAAAGTCAATCAATATATTTTTTTTAAAAAAAGAATCTCAAAATGGAAAGTATATGTTTAATAATATTTCTTTGCATAGTGGCAAAATGATTTTCAAGTTTTCTGTTTTTTTCGCTCAAGTAAATATAAGTAGACATAAAATTTAACTATGCCAAAATAATTACTGGCAAAGTGAGTGTTTCCTCTCAAAAAACTTGTGTTAAGCAGCCAGTACTGTAAGGAAGATGAAATGTGCCTCAAGAGGCTTGACCCAGTAGCTGAGCTTTGGATGCAAATCTTACTTGCATTTATTGTCCTTCTGTGCTTTCATCGAAGTCACCCTCATATCCCAAAGGACTATGCAGCTTGTAACAAACTGAGATGTGGCCACACCACCACTAACAGGCCATGATTATATTCAGGTCTCATTAGGAAGAGTAAGCACCTCTTCTTCCCACGGAATCTCACAGATTCAATGGACAGGCTCTAATACTGCAATGATGGTAATGGGTATGTTCTGTTTAGCTTTTGAAGCTTTCTAAATGTGGGAGCTGGAAAAGACAGGATGAAAGTCTGCTTTCAAAGGAGAAGATAGAATTGTTCCCACATTGCTTTGTAAAAGTCCTGTTCGATTGTATATACTGATAAGGCAACTTAAACTGCAAACACATATAAAAGACATAAACAGGCAAATGTCAGGCTCATTTCCTGTAATGGGAATCACTGCTAAGCTTGTGATGAGCCTAGGGGGACTTGTTCACCAAAGTTTGAACACCAGTTCATTTTATTATTATCACATCTGGGGAGGATCAGTCAACTAAAACATTTTTTTCTTTTTTTAAAGGCAGGATTCTGAATTACTAACCAATAAGAAGTCATTATGTAAACTCCACTTGTTGCAGACTTTGAGGTTCCAAACCCATTATGGGAACACTTTAGTTTGGAAATTTAAGTCTACTTTTTCCTCAGATTAACTAGACTTTGTTCTATTTTCTAGTTCATTACCATTTTGTTGAAGTGCAAATTAGAATTATGGGGGGAAAGTGTCACTTAAGTTATTCCATAATTCTATTGTATTTTCTTTCTAAGAGGTTCAAATAACATGATTTTCATTATTCACAACACCCTGAAATATATGTTAAGCACTGAAATCATCTGGCGACAGGAGCCCAATATGAGGCTTACAGAGGCAGTTTTGAAATTTAACGAAAGCAAAGGCAGACTCAGAGACTAGACCTGGTTGGCTAATCAGATTCATCCTGCCACACAAGCTTGACGTGACAGTTGGTACTACAGCCAGTGATGTCAACAAAACTCCCGGTAAGAAAGATACCAGACTTGATATATAACTTAGATACTTCTTTGACCTCTTTCCTGAAAGGAAACCTCCCTCACTAATATCACTGCTATATTCAAACAAGCAATTTGCCACTGCCCTGGATGCTGAGCTACTTAAACTGTGCTAGTTCTATGCAAGGAATGTTGAATTTCCTCTCTGTGACTACACCCTCCGTCATGCATCAAGGATAAAGATGTCTTTTACTTTTTACTCCAAAGCAATTTTCTTTTTCTTTACTGTGGCCTATTTTTCTATTTTCTAGCAATCCCTCTATGCTTTCTGTGGTCTTTGGAATATCAGCAAAGGCAATACTAGTATAATGTTCATTTCACCATTACTGAGGGAGCAACAGCAACGATGATCACAAAGATGTGTTCGTGCATGGGAATTGCTCTCTGAGACCCACTCTACACAAAGAGGAAAATGTTTACATGTCACACGGTGCCAGGGCATGGAGACACCATTTAATGCAAACATTTGGTAACACAAAATTTTTTAAGTTTATTAATTTGTAAAGACCAGTTTTCTTTTGGGTTCTATTTGTGAAAAAGCATTAAATGTAGGTAACAGTGGTCAATATGGACAAAAGCTTTAGAGTTCAGAGCATTTGGTTTAGTTTAGTTTTGGTTTAAACACATTTAAACTGGACACAAACCATCCATTAAATACTTATTTACATCTTTGGAGTCTGCCAGAAAAGCATGCAGATAAATGCTCACTTCTCAAATGCTTTCGTATTTGAGAACTAAAAGTATTCTCAAATGCTTTAATCACTATAATGTATGTTTTTGGATTGATGGCTTTAAGTAGGCCCCCCCCAGCTCTTTCTGCATTTTCACATTTTTATATTTTTCAAAATAATGTTAAAATAGTCATAAGTTTTATAGCATACTAGAGGCCCGGTGCACAAAAATTTGTGCACTCAGGGGGGAGGGAGGGGTCCCTCAGCCCGGCCTGTGCCCTCTTGCAGTCTGGAACCCCTCGGGAGATAACGACCTGCTGGCTTAGGCCTGCTCCCGGGTGGCAGAAGGCAGGCCCAATCCCTAGGTGCAGCCCCTGGTCGGGCTCAGAGCAGGGCCAATTGGGGAGGTGGGGCGGCACCCCCTGTCATGCACAGAGCAGGGCCCATTAGGGGGTTGGGGCTCCGTACCCTGTCATGCACAGAGCATGGCCAATCAGGGGGTTGGGGAGCTCCCCCCTTTCACACAATGAGCAGTGC